CACACGTGTGCTCCAAATACTCACAACACCACCAAATACAAACGCGCTGCAAAAGCTCACAACACAAATACAGAAAACGCGCTGCAAATAACACAGAGCACAACGGAAATGTTTCCAGAGGAACCAAATAAGTGACGAACCCGGCTGGGACGTGCTGGAATAGATATCCATAAATCTATGCGTCCATACATATAGTTTTATGTCTATATGTATGGACACTCTTGAAAATGAGATGTTGCATCTCAAGGGGCTATCCATTAATAAAATTGAAATTAATTTCCTCATTATTTTCACCTGGGATGTTCCCATGACAACGCAGCACAGAGTCCATCAGCTGAAGAGCTGTTCTTACCACAGAAATATAATGCTGTCAACATAACGGATGCAAATACATTTTTATTTTTAGTTTACAAAAAAGCTTTTAAAATATGCGTTATATCTGTGTGTCTCAACTTTAAAATTTTGGACCCTACATTACCTAACATTTCTTACGAAACTTTTCTTTATGAAAATGTAATAACATGAAACAATTTGTACAGTGTAACTGATGTATAGATAAATATCTTTCCTTCATGATTTTCTTCTTTATCTTTTTATTATTTTTATTTTAGTTTCCAGCTCATTGTTCTTTTCTCATTTGTATTCTGATGACATTGAACACATTGTTAATACATTTTGTACATTGTATACAAGTTGTATGTCATAAAAAAATTTAATCTCTGTATGTTTTGCACAAATAAATAAATAAAGTATAATTTTAAGCTGTAAGCACCAGCACGCATAGATTTATGGATATCTATGCCATTGCCACTGCCAGCACCTTCTTATACTGTCTATGGCCAGCACGCACGTCCCAGCCGGGTTCGTCACTTATTTGGTTCCTCTGGAAACATTTCCGTTGTGCTCTGTGTTATTTGCAGCGCGTTTTCTTTATTTGTGTTGTGAGCTTTTGCAGCGCGTTTGTATTTGGTGGTGTTGTGAGTATTTGGAGCACACGTGTGTTGTGAAACTGATGAAGATGTTTTCTTAATTTGCGGGTGTTTTTTGTTTTTCTTTGCACGCGTTTTTTTCTATTTGCATGCATTTTATTTTATTTGCATGTGTTTTTTTGCATTTGCATGTGTTTTCTTCAGTTGCAGCGCGTTGAGCTCTCTCGGCCACCGTATGGAAGGGAGAGAATGTGGCCACCACTGAAGTCTCGGACATCATCGGCACGCTACCGTTCGTCCAGGAGGGAAACGTCTACGGATTTCGTGTTCGAGGTCTGATGAAGCCACTCGCACCAGAGGGCGTCTCACACACACACACACACACACACACACACACACACACACACACACACACACACACACACACACACACACACACACACACACACACACACACACACACACACACACACACACACACACACACACACACACACACCACTTATCCCTCTGAACACCAGAGGGCGTCTCACACACACACACACACACACCACTTATCCCTCTGAACACCAGAGGGCGTCTCACACACAAACACACACACACACACACACACGTTTTCAGAATCGTCGTCAAGTCAAGTCACCTTCATTTATACAGCGCTTTTAACTATAGCCTAAATTGTTCCACTACAGCTTTACAGTGATAACAGGAGATTACAGTAACAGAGAGGCTTTACAGCCGCTCTAGAATAAAGTTATTGTCCAGATAAAGTTAGTTTTGATTGATTCACTTCCGTCGCAAAGATCATTAGTTATTAACTTAGGGGCCGCTAACACGACACTGTTCTAACAGAAAACTCTTAACGCAAACTTTAAAAACGCGAACCTGTGAGAACGCTGATGGCGTGCACATGCGCATTCATTCTATAGGGATGCGTGTTTGAATATATGTGCGCAGGCATGCAGTCCTTCCCTAAAAAACAACCCTCAACAAACTACTCGTCTGGCCTTACAATTATAATACAGAATGTTATCGCTTCGCCGTAGCCACGCCAACCGGCATTATCCCGACAACAATTATCTGTACAGAGGTAAAGGGAAGGAGGCCTTGTGTGTGTGTGTGTGTGTGTGTGACACCCGAGTTTTATGAATTCCATTATCACGAATATGGTTATAAAGAGAATGGCTAATCTTATTGTCTTTTTGTTTATAATGATTAAAGTGTTGGATTAATCCGTGTGTGTTGTTCATATTATAGATTGTTCTTTCATTCGCGGTCTCAAATTTGTAGGACTCTATTCACATGAATGTATTTCATCGTCCATGTGTAAAATAAATTACTGAAACCATAGGCCTTACCAAATAGCCTAATACCAGTGAAGTAGAGTGAATGCTGAGGTGGAGTGTCGTGACCTGCAGGTGGCGCTGTAGATGATGACAGCATTATTCACAACGGCGTTCAGCCTTTAATGCAGCTGCGAAACCAGAACAGGCCGAACCGAACCATCCATGCTGTTTACACCGCATTAGGAACAGGCTACTTCATCAGGATATTGGTTTTATTCCACTTTGTGTTATTCCAATGAATGGAAAATATTCTGTGCAATTAGATGACGTAATAGTCTATTTTCCAACCAAACCGTGTAATATTGGGCAGGTCTTCGAATATTCATAATATTGTTTATTATCATTGTTCGTCTAGACTAGAGTTAACAGGGCAAACACAGAAAGAGGTTTATTTTAATAATATTCACCAGATTATATAACTTTTTTACAGCAGAAATGAAGCATCGCTTAACTTAAGCTCGACTGACGCTATTCTCTTCTGGAAACAAACTTGTTGCATTATTTTCCTGTTATCTCTGTAAAGCTGCTGTGAAACACTGTGTTGTAAAAAGCGCTATTGGAATAAAGGTGACGTGACTTAACCAAAGATGAAGTTTTGAAATATAATGGGAAGGCTTATTTTTAAGGCAAAACATCAATATCCGGAGCATTAAAAAAACAAAATCCCAATCCTCCTCTAAAGAGGAAAGAGCAACAAAAATAAAGAACTAATCTGTAAACATTTCGAACTAAAATATTGCTGTTCTTGAATGTTTGTTTTCAATTTCGTTTGAATAAAAGTTTAACGTTTGCTGTTAACTGCATAATCCTGAAAAAAGTATTTATTTATAATTGTATAAATATTTTTTATAATTTTAATTATAGTAATTTTACTGTTTAACTCTAACCCTAATTTAGGTTAGTTTATGTTCCTTTTTTAGATTAGCCTACATTAAACGTAGAGTTAAACAAGAGCTTCTGGAAGACATGCGTTGAATGTTGTCAGAATAAAACATCTGTAATGTCCATAAATCTCGAAAGGAATTAAATATCTTCCCGTTTGAGTCTTTAAACCGAGACTGAGTGACATGGCGCCAGAGAGAGAGAGCTCTTCTGAAAGGGAAGGTCGATCTCCCTCAGATCTATTGTGATGAGGTCAGCGCGCGCTCACCCGTGTGATTCTCGTCGCATTGTCATTAACGCTTTTATTAATTACCGAGCAGCGCGATGTTCTGAACCCGGACCTGTGACAGAGACCAAAAAGAGTCCTTTCTTCTTTCATAAATCCATCAGTTTCCATCATTTCTGTTTCTCATCGCTGGAACGAGGTCGCCAGTAAAAAGGTCAACAAATTAATAATTAGGCTAGTAGGCTATGGAAATTCAACAAGATCTGTTGGAAATTAACAGCTTGAACCTGCAGTCAGTCGCTTGATCCAGAACCTCGACATGTTCTCCTGACTGTCCTCGAGCATCAGTCCTCAAACTCGCTTCGAGGAACCCGTTCATCATCTCAGGTAATCTTCAGTCCAGTCTCTCTGAGGAACCCGTTCATCGTCTCAGGTAATCTTCAGTCCAGTCTCTCTGAGGAACCCGTTCATCGTCTCAGGTAATCTTCAGTCCAGTCTCTCTGAGGAACCCGTTCATCATCTCAGGTAATCTTCAGTCCAGTCTCTCTGAGGAACCCGTACATCATCTCAGGTAATCTTCAGTCCAGTCTCTAGTTTACGGGTTCTGTAGAACATGCGGTGTTTCAGAAACACTCTTCATGATCGAGGACAGGCTCATAAACTCAAACACTTTTACGAGTTTACGCATAGATTATTACCATTACCGTGTGTTGAGCAAGACAGTTCTGATGTTAATCTGGGTCAACACATTATATAAAGCGAGTATAAGTGTAGAACTATTGAGGGGTTTTAAATGTCATTTAGCCTTGATGTTCCTTTTTTATTTACTTTTTTCCCCTTAGCATTATCACTCGTTTGAAGGGTTGTAATTTGTTTATTCGAGTGTTTTCATTGAAACCACATGAAGATATTTGAGTTTAAGATTTAATACCAAAAACTTCTGGACTGAATTCAATCGTCGTCAAATTCGTAAATATTTCGGTTTCATTTTGAAACATTAAAAAATCTCTCTCACGTTCTAGAACAAACAAGAAAACTAATAAAACAGAATATGACATTTTTCATTAATTTATTTAACAAATATATTCATCATATAAATGGTATTTTTGTCCAAATGTACAATATTTTACAGTTCAGAAATCCCTTTCGAAGGGAATCATTAAAACAACAGTCAGAGTTGTTTATATTTAAAATGCTCTTTTCAAACATTCACGCGAGTTTGAAAAAGCCCGTTCAATTATAAACTCAAGAGTGAAAACACACAGTTCTCCCTCGACCAAACCCGTGTTCATAACTCTCAGTTCATAACTCTCAAAGTTCATAACTCTCAACCCCGTGTTCATAACTCTCATCCCCGTGTTCATACCTCTCAAGCCCGTATTCATAACTCTCAGTTTATACCTCTCAAAGTTCAAAACTCTCAAGCCCGTGTTCATAACTCTCAAGCCCGTGTTCATAACTCTCAAGCCCGTGTTCATAACTCTCAAACCCGTGGTCATAACTCTCAAACCCGTGTTCATAACTCTCAAGCCCGTGTTCATAACTCTCAAGCCCGTGTTCATAACTCTCAAACCCGTGGTCATAACTCTCAAACCCGTGGTCATAACTCTCAAGCCCGTGTTCATAACTCTCAAGCCCGTGTTCATAACTCTCAAGCCCGTGTTCATAACTCTCAAACCCGTGGTCATAACTCTCAAACCCGTGTTCATAACTCTCAAACCCGTGTTCATAACTCTCAAGCCCGTGTTCATAACTCTCAAACCCGTGTTCATAACTCTCAAGCCCGTGTTCATAACTCTCAAGCCCGTGTTCATAACTCTCAAGCCCGTGTTCATAACTCTCAAGCCCGTGTGAAATGTCATTATTAATAACTATTTCCACTGTTATCGGAATAGACCTGCGGAAGAGTCACATTTCTCGTCTTTAGGCTAAATGGTACATGCTGTATCCCATGTGTGTGTACAGTCCCACCGGACTCAAGCTCAGCGAGTGTCTGTGAAACTCGTGTGATCCCGAATATGAACCGGGAAGGTGTGGGAAGGAGATCCCGAAGGCCGGAGGGAGCATCGGTTTGCTGGCCATCTTCAGCTTCTCGAGCTCGGCCTCCTGGAGCCGCTTGGCTTTGGCTCGCCGGTTCTGGAACCAGATCTTGACCTGGGTCTCCGTGAGGCTGAGCGAGCTGGAGAACTCGGCCCGTTCGGCGATGGACAGGTACTGTTTCTGGCGGAACCGGCGCTCGAGCGCCAGGAGTTGGGCCGTGCTGAACGGAGTCCGCGGCTTCCGGTTCGTCTTGTGTTTCCGTAGCGGACACGCGGGAGGACTGAGACGCCCTGAACACGGACACACACACACACAGACTTATTAACTCAGATCACACAGTATTAATGTTGAGGTCTTCACACACTCTAAAAATGCTGGGTTGTTCTAACGCGAATTTGGGTCAGATACGGACAAACCCAACTATTGTTACATTTTGAAAATGATTTTTTTTAACCCAATGTCTGAGTCTCCCGCACGGCAATGTTCTATTCAGACTTAAATATTTTTTTCTTTCTAATATAGTAGTCTTAAAAATAAAGGTTCCAAAATATGTTTAAAAAGAACCATTTTTTTGTTCCCCAAAGAACCTTCAGTGAACAGTTAAATATTGTTTTTTCTTATTGTGAAGAACATTTTAATAATTTAAAGACGAAGATTCTTCACAGAACCATAAATGCCAATAAAGAACTTTTATTGGTAACACGTTATAATAAGGTTCATTAGTTAATAACTACATTAGTTAATTAACTGCACTTATACAGCATTTATTAATCTTTGTTAATGTTAATTTCACAATTTACTAATAGGCCTACTTTATTAAAATCGTGTTAACATTAGTTAATGCACTGTGAACTAACATGAACAAACAATGAACAGCTGTATTTATATTAACTAACATTAACAAAGATGAACAAATATTGTAACAAATGTATTGCATGGTTATTAGTTAATACATTAACTCATGTTAACTAATGAACCTTATTATAGCCTAAGTGTTGGCATTTTGTTTTTAAGAGTGGTAAATAATGCAAATCAAGTGTACGTTACAGACTCAGATATGAATCTCAGCTCATATGTGTTTATTAATATCACAGGCTCCTGATTGTAACTCACGGGGAGAGAAGCTGTCCGGTTGTGTCCACGCGAGCTCCGGGCTCTCCGCCTTTACCGGCACCTTCAGAACGTCCACAGAGAACGTGACACGAGCACCGGCCCGGTCTGGATCGGCCTCCGTTCCGAGGGAACGCGCTGAAGTCCCGGCGTTAGAGCCGTTCGGCCTCCGGTCTGCCATCAGGGCTTCCACGCTGAACGGGAGGATCTTCGGCTCCTGCATCGCTCCGGTAACTCCCGGAATAACTCGGGAATGATCTTCCGTACACCCAGAGGTCATGCTGGTAACCGGGGCCGTGCACACACACACACACACACACACACACACCGATGTGAAGTGCACGGTTAGTGTTTACAACCAGATGTGGTGCTCAGAACATGCTGGTGTTCGACTCCGCTATGAAGGACTGTACGCTAATAACACACGGGGAGCCAATCAGAGCAGAGGGGCGGGGCTTAAGTTCCTGAAGTTCGGCTGTTGTGTTTAAATCTGTGAGTGTTGTGACGTGTTGCGTTCTGGACAGAGCAAAATAAATGATGTTTTTTTTAACATACTGTGGGTAACTTTAAAATGTGTTAGATAAATAACGGCAGTAACGATAGGCTATTTATTCTTTGTGACTAGCCTATTATTAGGCTCACATTTTTTCTTCAACTTTTTGCTGATTAGAGAGTTTTTTCCCCCTTTTCCTTAGGTCAAGAAAAAGCGATTCCCTGTTTTAAAACCCATTATTTTATATTAAAAAAAAAAAAATCGTGTCACCTATATTTTTTGTATGAGAGTTCTTTGAAGAGAATGTGCAAAGAATGAACGCATAGGCCTATTAGGCTATTCGTAACACACACTGCAGATCAGCAAGAGTGCGATGAGTCCACACATCAGCTCCAGTGGCTGCTATCCTTCGATCAGTGGTGATCATATGAGTGGTGATCAGTGGTGATCAGTGTTTACTGGGCTGATGATTAGCCTCGGACGGGGATCTGTGTTTTGGCGCCAGGAGCGGCGGATCAAAGCCAGAACCCTAAAACCTCACGCAGAGCCGGTCATTCCGCACGAACATGTTTCTGAAGATCTACTGGCTCTCACTGTTTACTAGCGGGTGTAGAGCTCAGAGATCACATCAAACAAATCAAACAATACGAATATATAGTGTTAAATATTATTTAGGCTACTGATTCAATTTTCCAGGGACTACATTCTTTGCACAAACCCGTTCCCATCTTTCGTAAACTGTAATTGGTTGTAACTGATAAAATTACATGCAAACGGTAATTTAGCATTTCCTTAATTTCACATCCGGCTGTTAAACCGAATAAATCTGTAATTATGCTTGGAGACACTTAGAGCCCATTAGATGAAATGAGTGTCGCGCGCTTTGAAGTCTCGCGCTCTCACGCGCTGCGGGAATGTTTGATCCTTCCGCGGTAAAAAATGAGCAACATAAACACACACTTGCACACACACGAAACACATTACCCTCCCGCGGCCGCTTCTAGACGGGTCTCCGAGGTGCAGCTGAGTAGTAAATAACTGGCATTGATTGTTCTGTTGTGTTTGTGTAGGGAAACACAATTAGCATGAGCTTTAGGGCAATGATGTGCGTGGAGAAGGCGATTACCATAGTTTTTATTGAAATCTCAGGGCAACAAATGAGGGCTGAACTGCGACACAAAGAGACTGTAAGTCCTATCAGAGCTTTGTTTAACTCCACAAACCCCAGCTTTGATTCGGAGTCAGGAGACACAAAGAGCCTTTGTCGTGTCTCTGCGAGAGTTGTCTTAACCCTTTTCATGCAGAGTCTGTCAAATCTGACTTAAAAGACTTGAAAGGTTCCGTGGATATCAAAAGACGGTCCGAGGGAAACGTTTAGCCTCGGAGAAAAGGGGAAAAGCGAGTGATTCCTGGATGTCTGTCACGGGGAACATGTGTGTCCCATTAAGCGGGTTAAAACTCGTGTGGTGCGAAAGTTGAGCTTTGATTCGTGTCGTTCAGATGAAGCTCTCTGTGTGTTAGTGAGGGCCTACACACACACACACACACACACACACACACACACACACACACACACACACACACACACACACACACACACATCATCATCATCATCATCATCACAGAGAAGAAAGCGGTGATCGCGACATTATGATGATCTCGCTGAAGATGAAAGACTGGATCATTACTGATAATGTCTCCTATTTCAGAGCAATTAGCGCAATCAGGCGTAAAGGGCCGCTAAACTCAATGCCTCGCGGTTATTTAAGCTCCTGAACGCCAGTGTAGCGTTCTCTGTGTCGATCACTGTCAGCCTCTCTCCAGCCGATCTCTGGAAGGGCGTAGCACGTATAGTCGTGCAATTTATACACAAAACAAAGTTTTTACGTGCTTATGATATGATACGCATTCATGGCGTGTAATATGCACGTACTCCACTACTCATACACAAGGGTTACAGTGCGTATCATATATGAACATAAAACCTGCGTATAAATTGCACGATAAATAGGCTACAATTCGTGCTACGCATTTTCATGAGATCGTGTTGTCTCTCTAATATTGTTAAACATTATGACAATGTAAAACAGCTGTTTTCTATGAGAATATATTGTAAAGTGTAATTTATTCTTTATTTAGCATTATTACTGCAGTCCTCAGTGTCACACGATCCTTCAGAAATCACTCTAATATGATGATTTGAAGCTCAGGATTATTTGATGAATTGAGGAAGTCTTTATGAGTGAGTCATTTGAATAATTCAACCGATTTGTTAGAAAACACTGATTAATTCAGGGTCGAATCAAGTAATGAGCGAGTCATTAAACCATTCCTTCATAAATAGATGTATTTTTAATTTTACAAGTAGGCCTATGTAAATCTTGTATATGAATTTCCCCCAGTCATATGTGATGCTATCACTATTTTTTAGTCATACTACCTTTGCATGAATATATTACCTTTATATTTTTGATTAACTTATTTTTATACATTCACATATAAATTTGAGTTCACTTCACTCAACATTCTTCATGTAGGCTAGAAAAATATGTATTCTGCTGGTATTACATATTTTAAGTAAAAAATGTTGAGTGAACAGGTTTTCTTGTCATTTTAAGGAAGTTGAATTTCCTAAAGAGTATGCTGGAAAAAAGGCTTTATTTTAAATAAATGCAACACATCATTTTCATCAGTGTGTTTTTGATGCATGCTGCCTAGTTTTGTCCCCCCCCCCCCCCCCCCCCCCCCCCCCCTTTTTTTAATAAACTGGAGCATAAACATTTTGTACTATAGGCTTTATTTGTCAGAAATTCTTTTGTTAATCACTGATAGAAATCGTGGTCACTAAGCACAGTTTATCCAGCATTATTATTATTATTATTGCCTGTTAATAGATGAAATCTGCGATAACTGAAAAGATTGATATCAGTTGAAACCTTGTGATCTAAACTGGACAAACATGTGAGATACTCGCAGATTCTCGAGAAACTGAGCACACACACACACACACACACACACACACACAGGATCCGATGAAAGCAGCTCGTGTCTCAATTACCTGCAGATGAAATTGAATTAGCAGCAGTTTTACACACAGAACTCGCTAATAGCATTAATCTCAACTCACTGAGCGGAATAATGTCGGATATGCGGGATTCGGTGATCGAGAGCTTCATAAAACTTAATGAAATGCGCAATATGCGGAAAACAAGCTAACAAATCAAACACAGAGATCATTTGGTAAAAACGCTGCGATTTCGGACTCCATAAATCCTTCAATCCACTGCATGTGCGTCAGAGAAATACAACGAATTAGTCCGATCTTTCTGAACAACTAAAAGCCACATTAACAAATATTACTTAAAATATTGGTATTATTTTATTCGTTTATGTCTTCATCGGCATTGTGTTTGGATATGTTTTTCATATATCGTTTTACTGTTCACATTTCTTTCCATGGGCATAATAATCATATTTACTGGTGAAAGAGTCATTATTTATATACTGCTTTATTTCTACAGCGCTTTATTGTTTTTAAGGCTTCACGGGAATAAACAGGAAAATAGGCCTAATGATCAACGAGGCGCTAAAGTGACATTAATTAGGATATTATTAATTTGAATATGTTTAGCCCCAAAACAAATAAGCAAGTAGGTAAATACATAAATCAGATCGATATTAGTTGCTCGGTATTTATTAATAACTATTTTAATGTATGAACTAATTTCACTCAAGAAAAAAATATATTTTCTGAACAGCTGTTTTGACCTAATATTTTAATTTCTTTGATAACCTAATTGTATTTGGACTTTTTTTATTAGGTAGCCTATGTTTAAATAAAGTATTTTTCCATGTAATTTGTAAAGCTTGATGCTTTTCAATGCTTTATAATCCTTACATTTGAACAAGCGCGTGCGATCTGAATCAAATCCAAACATGTGATCAAACCCGAGGAGATCGAGTTCGGCTTGGAACTGAACACCTGTACTCTTGCAGCGCGTCACTTAGGCATATTCTGATTATTATGACTATTGTTATATCTGTTATTACAACCTTGGAACTGTTTTTAGGGCTTCTTCTTTGGGGTTTTACTCCGCACTGACTTTCCCTTTCCTTCTGTCCTGACCTGTGAGGTTTTTAAATCACAGCTTCCCTCGGGAGTTCAGCGACACCATTACAGCGATAAATCCGCGCGAGGCGTTTCCCGCGTGCGCGCGCGAGGTCAGCGCGTTTAATGAGGCCGTTAAAGCGCGATTGATTTCGCCTCATCTTTACGATCAGCGCGCGCGCCGCTATCAGTCCCGCGCACATTGAGCGCGCGGCAGTTTGTCTCGCGCGGCGCCGTTTCGCGGGCTTAAATTCCCGCCCCTCGAACCCCGCGCGCCCCATAATTAATTCCTCATTAGACAGCTCTTTATTGTTTTAATTTGCGCAGTTCGTAATCAAATTGGGCAGATTAATCGCTACAGGATTTAGGGATGCTGAAAATAAACGGGTTTCATTTTCTCCGCGTATTTTCCCTCGATAAATTCCCAGCATGCGCTTCTCTGCGCGGAGGGGTCTGACAGAGGCATTTAACGGAACGCATTAAACTCCCTCACAGCCACATATTTCTATTACAAGGCTAATTGTAAAAGTCAACACTACAAATTCAGGTTTATTTGTGTGTGTGTGTGTGTGTGTGTGTGTGTGTGTGTGTGTGTGTGAGTGAGTGTGTTTCATTTTTGGTTATCCAAAGAGCCTTTCAGTGAACAGTTCTTAAAAGGCTAATCTAAAGACCCTTGATGCATGTTAAGGTTCTTCATCAAGGCCAATAGAACCTTTATTTCTGAGAGAACATTGAGACAGATGTAAATGTGAGATGAAACTCAATGGAATTTAATCAGATATAAGTTGCATATAAACACAACCAT